TGATGATGGTGATGATGTTGCTGCTGCTGCTGTCTTGCTGATAACTGTTGTTGCTCCCATGAATATGCACCCTGCTGCCCGTCCTAAGGCAAACCACAACTCACTCATCTTGGCCCTGGACCCTGAACCACCAGAACCCGGAATCTGAGAACCCAAACTCTAAAACCACGCACCCTTAAACCCCTGAACACGGAAACTGCCAACCCCTAAAACCTAAACCGCCCAAAACCTTCAAAACTCCAGACCCAAGAACCGAAACCCTAAACCAAGCAGCTGGATCAAAGCCACGAAGGAGCTCTTCGAGCTGCTTCTCGTCTCGCATGCCCTCCTTGATGGGGGGGGGGGGGGGGGGGAAAGGCTCACGGCTTACGGTTTGGCGTTTAGGGTTTAGGGTTTAGTGTTTAGGGACGCTCAAGGAGTGTTTAAGCGACGAGAAGTCTTCCGAAAACATGGGACTTCGACGATGTGTCCTCGACGCTGTATACTTCAACGAAAGCGGGGGCAGCGCAGGAGAAGCAGGAGGAGGTTCAGAACGAAGCAACAGCACCAGTGCCCCAAAGCCTGAAAACCTGGACTCCGTCCTTGATGAGCATGTTGAGGGTCATGTTGTGGTAGTTTGGCACCGTCGATTCTAGGAGACGGCACGAAGACTCCGAAACCTGCTGGAGCAGGGCTTGGAAGTCTTTTGAAAATTGGACTGGCACTAAACTCTTCCCCGGGAAGCTCCTGAACGAGGTAAGTGAAGTTGTTGACGGTGGGTGAGCGTGGAAGATCATACCATCCGTTTGCCAAGCAGTAAAGGTCGTCGAGCGGATACTGGTGATCGCGGATGGTGATCTCCCGGCCATTCGGCATCCTCGGTCGGGGTGAGTCCCAGTAGGTCTTGAGCTGGGCTCAAACGAATGACTCGGTTCAGGGGTCGGTTTCCTGACTGCTTATGATCCCTATCACGGGACTAAGTCGCTAGATAGACAACCTCGTAAAAAAAGACCACGACAAGCACGATGATTGCGACGACAGCGACCACGACGACATCAGAAGTTGGGAGCGAAAACCTTTTCAAAACCCTGAAGCCCGATGCTGTCCTTAGTTTCCTCGGTGTCGAGACCGGGTCGAGCAAGTAGGTCTTGTACCAGTCATTATAGCTCTCGGCAAAGGGGCGCGCGTTCTCCTAAGTGTATCTGCTCGCGGGCTCATTGCTTAGAGCTATGTTTCGGCTTGAAAGGCTTCTGTAGATTCTGTGGTGATCTTCAAAGTAGAATGAAAGGTCTGGGAGCGCGCGGCCTTCATCGGCCTGCCTGCTGTCGTGACATGCAAACACGAGGCCAATGCAGCCTGTGAGAGCGGCTGCAAGTTGGGTAAAACCACATGCGAATGATTCGAAAGAATTCTAATCCCTAAACACCGCAATCCCTAAATCCCTAAACCTTAACCTTCAGGCTGGATCCAAGTTTTATAGCCGCTTCGGGCATGTGCTCAGGATTCACTGCGGCCAGAGGGCATAACACCGAGCAATCGCACATTTTCGAGTCCAGTTCCCCAGCTCGCCAAATATGCAATAGCCATCCAAGCCTGGGCATAGCGCTGACTTATAGTGTTCAGCTTCATGCTTGAGATTTCCTGCGGGTCAGGGCTGCACCTCATGGCAACAGTGTCATGGCACATCCCTTTCCCCATGTCGAACTGCACAGATGCCAAGATTTCCGACCCCGCTTAAGCTACAAGTCGTGAGCGTTGGGGGGGGGGGGGGGGCCTGAATTCTCAACACGATGTCCTTGCGCTTACAGAAGGGTGCTCGGTGACAGATGTGTTGCACTCATGCTTTTGACCGAAATTACAGGATCCTGTGGCACTTCAAACGACCCTGTATACATAAATACTTACATACTTACATACATACATACATACATACATGCATACATACATACATGCATACATGACATACATACATATGTAAGGACAGAAAAACAGAGAATCAGGGAGGGAGCGTTCATGCTGATTTCGGGGTTTCAGGGCCTGGGCCAAATAACATGATGCATGCCGTCGCGAAGATTGCATGAACCAACGAAGCTATGCGGAGTCACATCCGCAAACACATCTGAACTCTCTTCTCATGACTCCATCTTGCAGATGAGGTGCCAGTGTACCTCGAGATCACTTCCTCCATGGGAACATACCTGTCCTGAAGCTTTCTTTCCAAGCTAACCAGTCCGCGACATGAAAACACCACACCACAGTCTCAGGGCATCAAATCAAATCGCGGGCTCGAAACCTCCTCTTGATCTACCGACGAAGCTGTAACTCAGGTTTAGGGTTATGGAGAAACGCATCAGAATTGGGGAAGCATCGAAGTGTATGCACAAGCTCGTCCTCCGCTTGCAATGCCGCACAAATTCCTTGCCATCCGCTGGGTGGATCGCAGACCTGCGTGGTGGGAGAAGGAACACCCGCAATCTTCAAATGCGGCGAGGCCTCTGTAGCACTATGCAAAGCGTTATCACAAAACATACTACTTACTAGTTACGAATTACTACTGCCAGCATCTATGAACAGGCAAACATTGCGCTGACATAAGACACGACGCGTTCTGATAAGGTCTCCTGCACCTCTAATCCAGCTAACCCGATGTGGAAGCGCAAGGACTATCTGCGCCATGGAAGAAAAGTAACAAACACGGCACGCCTTGGTGTGCTGTTGCATAGAGCTCGTCTGCAGATCCTGGACGGGCGGCTGCTATCAATCAAACAGCTGCACCAACATAATCTAAAACTCCACCTAGGGCACCCCCAAGTTCAAAGGCATCAGCCAAGATGCTCGTTCCAGTCTCAACAAGATGTCGGTCTGAAGGAAGGATGCTTTGTAGCATTCATCCTCTCAGGCTTGCCCTTTCTATACTACGAGGCTATACGGGTTACTATAGGGTTAAAAGACTTCTCTCTAAGGGCTTTACACGCGTGAATGTAAGGGTTACCATCGTTTGCTTACTGATTTCTATCCTTGGAAACTGCTTTCACGCACATCCCGACAGCACCTCTGCAGCCACGTGTGATACCATCAACAACATGGCCCAAAATATATGTACAGCAGCAAGGCATGGCTGCCTACATCTACCTGCAACGATCATGGGTTGTCGTTTGCTGCAGGGAGCCAGCTGCGGGTGCCCGAAGAGCATAACGGAGTGACAACGTGTGTGGTCTCGTGCATCTGAAGATGCCCTTCTACGGCCCATGGGACGAGGCCTTCTTCCATTCAATGTCATGAAATGCTGAATTCCCTCCCATGAGATGTCTTAGAAACGCATGAGAAGTCGCGAATGTCGCCAAGAAGGCTCTCAGTGATGCAGGCTCAGGTAACCCTAAACCCTAAAACCCTAAAACCCTAAAACTCTAAAACCCTAAAAAACCCTAAAACCCTAAACCCCTAAACCCTGGGTAGATCGGACTTTTGCATCGGATCAGACTCGCTCAAGATACGGAGCGACGCTGAGAACAGGGCGGAGCCCGCACTGCGGCCTTGCCTTTGTCAACCTGGTTTAGGGGTTTAGGGTTTAGGGTTTACGTGGTGGTCTCATTGTCCAAAAAATCGACTCAGAAGTCCACGTTCGGCATGTAGGGACACTCACTGAAGTGGCCAATGCGGTTCTCTTCCAACAAACAGGCACCTGCCACAGGGCAGGAGCTGAGCAAACATGACAACGTACCTTCTAAGGCTTAGAGCAAAGAATTTCGCTTCTCTAATCGGAGCAACTCCCGAACACTCGTGCGGCAAGGCGCGCGCGTTCAGGTACGCCATGTCGGCAGCGCTGTTGCGATAACCGAGGAGACACTTGACCTAGCAGCAAGATGTGGAGCCCAAAGCATGACTAAATCACCCTGCCTATCCATGCGGACATCTGCTTAAGACTTGCCGATGGCAGCCGAGGGACATAATGATGCTTGGCAAAGTCACGGTGCGTGACAGGGCGACAATCCCTGATGCTTCGCCAGCCATCTTGTTGATCTCTGGGTTGGAACTGCCAGGATAGAGATAATCGTCCGTGGTGCACATCGTCATGACTGCGATCACAGGGTTCCAGTCGAGCCAATCGGCGAGAACGAGCTCTTCCCTGGAGAAGTTGTAAGTGGCCTGAATCTCATCGCATTTGTTCTTGGAGAGAGCCATCCACAGCGAGCTGTTCTTCATCCAAGCCGGATCCAGCCCTTGCCCTTGCAAGAAGCCCAAGGAGTAGGCATAGAGATCATCGTAGATGTAGTGGCTACAGTCCGCATACGTCGTGAGATTGGCCACGCCCTCGAAGTTCCTGAAAGTGATGAGCTTTCCCGTGTTGAGGCCCTTGTAGGACGGATCCCTCAAAACGAGGACGCCGTTTGCAGCTTCTTCCTCAAAGTTGGGATCTGGACCTGCATACATTAGCCATCCGGCCGTGCCGTTGAACCAGCAGTAGCCGTCCACTCCAGGATGTTCAGCCATCACATCTTCAACCGGTCGGTAACAATCAGCTCTGTGGCTATGAAACCGACAGTTGTTGCTGCAATAGTAGTTGGCCTGAGGGTCGCACCTGTCCACAAGAAGATGCCCACACTCGTCCTCGTGCAGTGTCACACGGGCTTGCTCGAGCTGCAACATGTTTGTGGCAAAGTCTTTCACACACTCCGCCACGTCGTTTGCCAAACCATGGTGCACTGCCATGGAGAGAACCCAAGCAACCGCGCGAGACGATGCCATGTTCCCAATGCGAAACGTACACGAAACTTGCTCTGGGGGGTTCGAGCTACAATGGCAACGGTGCAAAGGCATTCACACGGAACGGTCCACCGAATGTGCCCAGCTAACTGCCACCGGTGCAAAGCAAGACATGGCGGCTTGTCCCGTCCATTTTCTGGCCTTCGAACACGCTGCCGAGGATCCTTAAGAATCAATGCCTGCTGGCATGTATGCACACTCAGTAAGATGTCCGATTCGGTTGCCCTGAAGTACGCATGCACGTGCGTTCAGAACAGCCATATCCATGGCCGAGTTCTTGATGCCCAGAACACATTTTACATAATGATGCTTGGCAAAGTCTCTGCTGGTTACGGGCCGGCAGTCGGACGGACTGTGCCAGCCGGCGGCTTTCAGCACCGAAGGGTCAGAGGATCCCGCTGCCGGCATTCCGGCAGTGCATGCCGTCATAACTGCAATGACTTGGTTGAAGTCCAGCCAATCGGCCAAGATCAGCTCCTCGCTTCTGAAGTGGTAAGTCTCCTGGATCTCTTGGCATGCTTGCTGAGACAAGGAGCTCCAGAGGCTCGCATTCTGCATCCAACTTGGATCCAAGCCCTGGTTCTGAAGGAAACCTAGAGAGAAGCCGTACAAGTCATCAAAGAGGTAGTGATCCGCGTCCATGTGCGAACTGATTTCCTGCCCTTCGAAACGGTACACGATCGGCAGGCCAGTGTTCAGCCCCCGGTAGCTTGCGCCCCTCATGGCAAGAATGGCTTCCTTCGCATCAGCTTCATCAAAGCGAAGCTGAGGGCCGGTATAGTTCACCCAAAATGCAGCCTGGTTGAAGATGCAGTACCCATCTTCTCCCGGATGCTCCTCCATGACTGCCCTCAAAGGCTTGTAGCAGTCCCTCCGGTTCGTGTGGATCCTGCAGTTGTTGCTGCAGGGGTAGTTCGCTGCCGGATCGCAGGTCTCAACCAGCAAGTGCCCGCACCCAGCTCGGCTCTGTTCCTCCAAGGCAGTCCACATCTGCAACATGTTTACTTGCCCTGGTGGCTCTTGGGCATCTTCCCTCGTGCTGAGCGCCACAAGAGAAAGGAAACTGGCGAATCGGGCCACCCTCATGACTCATGAGGCTTCCTCGGAAGCATGGATAGGAAACTTCGGTGCTGCTTGTCGCCTGAGCCAGAGTCACGCACATGCGAGCTCCGACGACTTTACACTTCATGAGTCGGTTTGGGAGAGAAACGACACAATGTAGCGAAGCGGAGTGTGTGTTGCCGTGCCGCAGATTGTCACAGAATGTCGCTCTGAAGGCTACATGCTCAGACCAACTCTTATGCGTTGGCTGTGGCAGCTACTGGTCACGTGGTGACATGATTTCAAGATGCAAGCAGGGTTCAGGGTTTTGGGTTTTGGGCCCCATGATATCAAGACAGGAGTGTAAGGGGGCGCCATGGGCTCAACAGCTTGCTTCGCGTACATAAGGACAAGGATTTCGCCGATGATGATCCTAGGGCCCACGAATCACATAAGCTTGAGGATCCCATAAGTGAGTACAGTCTGGAATCCTATCATACGGGACAGGGACGATCCTTATGTCCCTGTGCCAGGCTTGCCGGCATACATGACCAGGAAAGAAATAAACTGTATAGCACCGATTAGCACCTTACATAGTACATAATAGCATGTTTGCTTTGCTAACTGCATCGTATCATGATGTGGTTTCTGAGCGTCCATGAAATATGCAATGTCTACACTATGAAGTGTATAGGGCCTACCCAGTAGATAGTTTGCTTTGCAGAAGTCAGAAGAAGACTTAAAATATGATGCATGAAATGCTAATGCAAGATGCGACATGTGCCCCAAATTTGCGACATGCAATGGAGTCGTTACAGCAATGCCCCACAGAAATGAACCATCGCAGTAGCACACGCACACAGCGAATTTACTGGTCGTTTGTTACTCCTCTGCAGCGAAGTCGAGCGTCAAAATAGTTGGCATCGGTCACCTCGGCATGTCAGTAGGGAGATCGGCTTGTAGGGCTTCGGGCATTGGGCTTCCTCGCTTCTTCTCTGCATAAAGTCTTGGATTCCTCGAGACGGTCTTCAACCGGTGGCACTGCACGTAGACTGCGTTGCACCATACTGCGAGCGATGCTACGAGGCTGCTGGCTGCGATCAGGCCGCACTGGACAGCTGCATCGAAGCCCAGCAGGGATCCTTTGGATGCCTCCCATCGGATGATCTTCAAACTGCACCGCAGTTTCTGCCCGAGCTTAGTACAGTGTCAAAAGGGGAAAGTTAGCTTTGAGAGCTTTGAGACGGGCCATGCATCCCACTAGTGCGGCAACACACCTCCATACTCCGGAGCTCCGAAATCATTGCCACTCACGTATGCGACAACTGCAACACATTAGCAAAGCCTGCGGAACGAAAAAATCAACTCGGATCAAAGAGCACTGGATGCTGCTACTAGTAACTAGCAATTTCTTTCATGAGATCCACCCACTTGTGGAGGAGATTGCATGCACCGTGGAAGAACGCCGACAAAATGTGACAGTTGCCTTCCATGATGTTCTCACTAGCACCTTGTGGTTTCATGACGGTGAGTAGGGTTTCTCGATGGAACTGTGGCGTTCTGCTGTAAGTGTTCTGCTGCGACCACTGCGATACATGGCTACCAGCACTGCTCCTCGACCTGGTGATGGGTGTTGGTGCTGGCGGCCCCTGTCGCTACAGGTATCTAATGCTGTGCCTTCACAACTTCACGACCTACAGCTGCAGGCGGTGCCATGACGAAGGCAATGGTTTCGACGTTCAGTGCAAGCCCCGGATGGTGGCGATTGTGCGATTGTCCTGCAACCGTGCACTTCGACATGATTCTGTGCGAACGGCCAAGGACGATTAATTACTATTGAATCGATGCTGAAGCGGCAGATGGTTCTTGGGGGGATCATTCGTTGAGTCGGGCCTTTTAAGGTCGCAACTGCTATCTCTTTCGGGGGCTTCGGCCCGCGGCCGCCAGAGCACTCTCTACATGCCAAGCTAAAGACCCCTGTTTAAAACGCATTTCCCTTCAGCACTGGAGGAAGGCAGTCAGGCATGGAAGGTCTCTTGAGAGGACAAAATTAGCAACATGAGCAGCTGCTGATAGGTAGGGATGCTGGCACCAAGAGTACAAACGGAAGACATCGAGCCTTGCTGATGAATCAGATCTCCGCACCACTAGGCACCACGCGTCCTTCGTCAGGCAAACTCAAACTCACTCGTGGCTGAGAACAGTGAAAAGCCTTAGAGATCAAGCTGCATGAAAACCTGGAGAAAAAGACACAGTGATCAAAGCAGGTGAAGCTTTAGACGGTCCTGTCAGTCGAGCAATTTGACTCATGTAGACCGGGAAGCCATTAGCACCAAATGCTGATGGAAACCACCGTCTCCACAGCTTCTTCGCCTCAACGCCGCCTGCGCTTGCGACGCCGGGACAGTGAAACTGACAATCGGATCAGCACATAAACTGAGAATGCAGACTGGCATTGGCAGGCAGGCTTTGCGGGTTCGTCCTGTCCGCTTTGACAAACCACCACAGATTCCTGCACATGCTGCTGTTTCAATGACATTCTGCATCTACAGGGTCCGGAAGTGCCATGCGAAGGCATGTTTAGAATCAGATCCTTTGTCAATCGACAAACGTTCTTGGCCCTCAGAGAGCTGAAGCCCTCACCACAGAGGCCCCACACGGACGGCCAGCGGAGCATCCGGTGCTGCTGCAACGTGGCCCCAGGCTAGAAGTCGAGCTGCTAGTGATATGGAGCACGGCCTGGGAAAGAGGTTGCGGACTTTGCCATCGGCAACAAGGGCATAAAGGAGTGGCTTGAATCTATGCGAAAACTCCAGGACCTCAACGGAAAGGCTTCGGCAGCCTCCGTCTTCCAAGACATCCGCAGAAAGAAAGAATGATCAGAGGCCAGCAACCTCTATCCACTGGGCGCAGATCTGCAAGACAGCACGCAAATGCAGCGAACGCGCCGAGTGTAGCGTGTGCAACACAGGTCTTAGTCCGCTCTGCTCTTGACAAGCATTCATTCCTAGGCTGTGTTTGCTACGAGATTCGCAAAGGGTGTCTCGAAGCAACACTGTAACAAAACGGCATCCGAGAATACTATTCCCGCATGGAAGGCAAAACTATATGTTGCTGCGAGGTGCAGAAGAGATGCAGGTGCTGCATTCCACAAGAGTGTGCTCGCACAGCGTGTTTCTTGAGTGACATGGTTGACGGCTGAAGTCGCAACAACCTGCAACACCGAGTCATGCTTACAGAGAAGCCGGCGGACAGGTGGATAGCTTCGTCACGCAAGAAGGGAACTCACAGGTTCGTCCGGCTGAAGCCTGCGACGCTCAAGGCATCGTGCTCTGAGAAGCTGTCACGTGCCGAACACCCTGATACAGGTGCGACACGACTCAATTAGACCTAGCAAGGCTTGCGTCGGATCGAAGCCGCCGACATTTGGGCCTGTCACTCCAGAAACATGCAGCACAGCGGCAATGTTCGTGATTCCCAGAACCCGTCCCGGACCATGAGAGATTTGCGTCCGCATTCAGGAGACAGCACCCCACCAGCTGAGCTCTGTATCGCGGCTTTCGGTCGTGGTACTACCTCTGGAGGGTTTGCAGACATTCATTCACTGCACGATCTGGTAGATCCACATGAATGTCGCAAGATCCAGAACGAACGGCCACACAACGACTCACCACAGCAACGACCTCAACTGGACCACTGCATCTATCAGCCGCGTCTGTCTCTTCTCTCCGGGAGAAGATTGACCGCACTTACCACTGAGCACCCTGTTGCAGGAGCTTCAGGGTTCAGGACTGGGCTTCAGACATCTTCAGGGGCGGTTGCCGGGCCATCCTGAGAATAGGAAGGGACAGCACCTTTACGAAACCCGGGCGGCATACGACTGGCCTCATCTCAGCCTGCATGCTGCTGACGTGGGGTAGATATGTGCAACCACCACGTCTGTGAAGCCTGCTCATGATCGGCAGGAGCTCAGCAATCTGCATGACACATACCCGCCAGATCCCAGAAGCACAGCTCCCTTTACAGAAATCACTAACGCGAGGCCACGCGATGAGGCGTAGCAGCCTGGTGAAACCTTCTGTATGTAGCCTGTGCAGCAACGACCCTGCTGCTTGGCCAGCCTATTACGAGTCAGCTAGCGCGAGAAATCGAGGCGGTGGCGCCCACAGCAAAGTATGCATCCACATAGGGCTGCTTGTCACACAACCGAGAAAAGTTGCACCGGATGGAAACTACGTATCCAAGATGATATGACCGGATCCGCAACTCATTAAGTCCGCCGGCACGCATGAATGTTCGGTGAACACGGCCGTCACTTGCTACATGGGTCCAGACCGCACCTGCTCACAAGCCAGCTCTTAGAAGAGACATGAAAACGAATAGACGGACTCCTTGAACGGTTCGTCGAACCGGCCAGGACAAGAAAGGAATGGCCTACGGCCCGAGGATTGCACGCAAGCTCGCTGCAAGGGCCTAAAGACCCTCAGACGGCTGCTCATGCTACTCCTTCTTACCGAAAATGCTCTGGAAATCTCTCGGGCCAAGAAACGCGACATGGCGGGTTACCTGGCCTGGATGACTCATGAGACAGATTCGTTCACGGGTCTGCACTGCAAACTACATCCGAGGAGTCGCCACTGCTCTATGCTGTCCTTTCCTGACAGCAAGAAGCAGCACATTACAGGGGAGCATGTTCAACAGGGGAAGGAAGACGAATTGCAGCTTTGCATCCATGTGAATGTGGAAAGCTGCATGCTCCGCAGCTGTTCCCTCCAGGCGCAGTCCCAGCTACGAGCTCCTTGCAAAGAGGAAGCACCTCTGAAGAACATTGGGCTGGGAAGCATTGCACACAGTGCAACTGTCCAAACTCATGGAGCAGGAGCTTGAAGAAACGAAAGGCACCACGGCAGCCTCTTTGGGGGAACGCTGCCGTCTCAGAAATCAAGTTGGCCATTTGCCTGTGGTGTGTCTACCTGGCCGGCGAATTCCGCAGCCACGGCCATCAACGACCGGATTGGCTACGGCACACTTGAGCACCAGTCTCCTCCAACCTCAATACCGGCTCAAGGATGCAGGCCAGGGGGGCCCTTTTCAAATTAAAGCGCCTCCAGAAGACTAGGGGGATGGCAGCTTGCCGCTGCCGCGTGAGCATGGTACATAGTATGTTTACACTTTCTTGCAAAGAGGTGGGAAAGACAAACAAGAACTGGGCATCTTCTGACAGGCGGAAGGCCCCTTCTCCAGGATGATATTCTTGTGACGCTTTCATGAAACCTTGAGTGGTGTCTGCCAGCACGTTGAGCCTACTAGCAATCACGGCTTTGTGGTCATGCCACAGGCTTCTTTCTATCGTACCCTCATCTTCACTGCCGCGTGCTGAGGCCTGCCACAAACCGAAAAGGCATGTGCCACCAGATTGGCATGCAAAAGCCGCTCCGAAAAGATATTTGCAGGCGAGCTCAGAGACTTGTGGTTGTTAACGTGCGAAACACAACACGAACATGTCCATTGCATCACCTTTGCGTGCCGATGACAGTTGCCTGCTCCTGCTTCTCGCACCAGTTCAAGAATCCACTGGAAAACCTGGAAAACCCTCACAGACCACCGACACTGCAAGACACCTGCTGAAGCTGCACCAGCCGCGTCTGCGAACCGGTGCTACGTGTCTAAAATGATATTTTCGAACTCGCAACTCATTAAGTCATGCGGCACCTGTGACTGTGCTGTCAAGGTGCTGGTGCGCGCAGCACACGCAGGCCTAGGAAGTAAACGGCTGGAAAGGCAAGACAGCAAGTGGACTCCTTGCAGGAACCGTCGAACAGACCAAGGCAAGAAAAGGCCCGCCCACTGCCCAAGAGGGCCGGGACCGGGCTTCTACGCGAGCTCTCTGCAAAGGCTTGACCCTTGCACAGCTGCAGATGCTGCACCTACTCACCGAAATCGCGGCCTCCAGTACAGGTTCAAGAAAGCGCCGGGGGAAAGGTTGCCTTCATGCTGCACAGCCCCAATTATCTCAAACGGCCGCGATGGCCTTGCGTATTCATGGACCTGATTGGCATGATTCCACTCTTTGTGGTCTCTGAGACAGAGAGCATGCTCATGCTGGCAGCAAATTGTGCATCGGCACTCTTCTCCGTTGTGCACTGCGCTCAAGAGTGGAAGGAACTGAGAAGGAAGACACGTGAGTTGTGGGGGAATCTGCGACTTTCTTAGACCTGTGCTGGGTCTAGCCTCTGCTTGCAGGGTCGGCCCTAGCTCCTCAGCTTCGCACATGGCGGCTCACCTCCGACGAAGAATTCTGCTTAAACAATCCGAGAGATCCTCCTGGTGCCAGGCATTTTCTCTCCTGCTTTGCTGAGTTACAGTTCTTGCCGATCAGCTTCCGCCTTTGCTGCGGTGGCATAATAACATGCAGCTTTGCAAGTCCCCCGACGCTTAGACCCTTGCAACACAGGACATGGGATCGAAAACTTGCCGTCCATGCTCTCGCGATGTCGTGCCATACAGCCAGGCTGAACCCTAAGCGATTTCAAGAATAATTCTGACACAGCCTTTTGTGTTGCAATCCGAGACGTTGGGATTTCGCGAATATCAGAAGACTCTGCAGGAGCAACAAGCACTCATCTCGGCAAATGTGCCTCTGGCGCTGGACAGGTCCCCGGTGAAAACGTGATGAGCCGAGAACAGAGGGGGGTTGTATCTTCAGAACAAAGCAGTCAACACTCAGAAGTCCAATTTCTCGCATGATACTTTCCTCAGATGCAGGAGCAATGAGTTCACTTTTACATTTGGATCAAGCCGCTCTTCCCACTCTCTGGGAACATGCTGAACTGACATGTTCCGTTCTGTCGCTGCGTCGGCATCAGACATGGGAAAACTCAGACCCGCAAAATGGTAGCATTCGCAGTACACTCTGGTGGACATTCACGTGAAACCTTCTTCATGCTTGCACATCTTGCCAACAAGTCACCTTCTGGAGATGTCAACTGAACAAAAAAGACTCACAACATCGACCAAGGATGACCAAGGTGTACACTGAGAAGAAGTGCAGACTCTGCCAAACAAACCGGCCCGATCAGCAAGTAGGACCTGGATGGATACGGTCCTAAACTGTAGATGAGCCCTGCAAAAGATAGACCGTCAGAAGTCAACGTCCGGCGCATAGGGGCACTCTGAGAAATGTCCAATGTGGTTCCCATCCGGCAGGCAAGCGCCTCCCCAATGGCTCAACAAGGCAAGATGGGTAAATTTCCACACAGAACATCTCAACAATCGCCAACTCCAATCAAAGCAGACACATCAACTTGCAGAAAGGCACGTGAGTTCGAGCAAGCCATATCAGCAGCACTGTTGCGATGACCGAGAAGGCACTTGACCTCAGCAATGCCACTCGTTGAACACACTGTGAAGCTCATGTGGAATGAGCAAGCTAGTACTCCATGCATGACGCCTTAAATCAGCCTCAGTGGCATAGTAGTGCTTGGCATACTCGCGGTGTGTCACTGGCTTGCAGTCTGTGCTGCTGCGCCAGCCGGCCATTTCATTAATTGCAGGATTGGCACTCCCGTTCCATGGATGTGGCCACTCGGTGCTGCAACCGGTCATTACAGCAAGCACAATGTTCCGGTCGAGCCACTCGCTCAGGATCAGTTCGTCATTGGTGAAGTTGTACTTTGCCTGAATCTCCTCGCATCTTTGCTTGGAGAGAGCGACCCACAAGGATGTGTTTTTCATCCATGCCGGCTCTAATCCTTGGCCCTGCAGAAAACCCAAGGAATATGCGTAGAGGTCATCGTATAAGTAGTGGTCCATATCCAGATGTGTCGTGAGATTCTCCACGCCCTCGAAGCGATACGTGATCAAGGGTCCTGAACTCAAGCCACTGTATGATGAATCCCGCAAGTTGAGTATGCTCTCAATTGCTGCTTATTCAAAGTCAAGGATGGCTCCGTTGTACGTCAACCAGTTAGCTGTCCAGTTGAAGTAGCAGTAGCCATCGAACTCCGCACCGGTTGGGTCAGCATGCTCTGCTAGAATGTCTGGGAGGGGACGGAAGCAGTCTCTTCCATTTGAGTGAAATCGGCAGTTGTTGCTACATGTGTAGTAGGCTTCTGGGTCGCACTCTTCGACCAAAAGATGTCCACAAACCTCATCCCGAGTTTTCATGCGGGTGAACTCCAGCTGAAGCATGTTCGTGGCCCTTTCCTCATTGCACTCTGTCGCACCTTCGGCCGCCGCCCAGATCTGCCAGACTGCGAGCAACGCAATGCCATGCTGGCTCATGCTGTACTGCATGAGACTAAAAGTGCGCGCAGGCACGTCGTTCAGACAAGATGAGAAGCCCACCCTAAGTTTAGGGATGTGATGAACTGTCAAACACCTTCCGACTTGTGACATACTGTCTACTGCCGATGCCTGCTACATTTTAACACACTGTAACACTGCATCAGGAAATACGGCGGAGCGCAGGCTTGCCAATAAAAATCACGATGCTCACACAGGGTTAAAGCGGGCCAACATTAAAGCTTGACACAGCAGGCAGAGCAGCGGGACCAATTGATGAGTGTTTTTTGCTGCCGCCGTTTGTATACTCGATCGCTTGACACTGAAGGGATCAGAAGTCTACACCTGGTGGTGAGTACGGACATTCACTGAAATGTCCAATGCGATTCCCCTCCAACAAGCAAGCACGGCTGTTCAAATATGCCATGTCACCAGCCGAATTCCGGTGACCTAGGACACACTTCACGTAGTGGTGCTTGGCCATGTCTCTGCGAGTGATGTTTCTGCAGCTTGGGGAACCGCGCGAACTGGCTAGCAAGGACTGGTCAGTGATGTTGTAGATGACACCGGCACTGCAGAATGCCATCGACGCCAGGACCTGGTTATGATCTAGCCAGTCCGCCAACACCAACTCCTCGTTGCTGAAGTTGTATGATTGCTGAATCCTGTCGCAGGCTTGCTGGGACAGGGAAATCCAGCGACTCGGATCTTTCATCCAAGCCGGATCCAATCCCTGTCCTTGGAGGAAGCCAAGTGCATATCCATACAAGTCATCGAAGCTGTAGTGGGCGCTGTCCATGTATGACGTGATCACCTGCCCTTCAAAGTAATAAGTCAACAAAGGTCCCTTATTCAGGCCCTTGTAGTCTGGCTCACGGAGTCCCAGTATTCCAGATACAGCTTCATCTTCAAAGTGGGGCACTGGACCTGCATATATGACCCAGAAGGCTGTGGCATTGAACCAACAGTACCCATCTGTGCCAGGGTGCTCGTTCATGACATCAACGACCGAGCGGAAGCAGTCTGCACCATGTGAATGGATCCGACAATTGTTGCTGCAACGATAGTTTGCGCGAGGGTCACAAGCATCTATCAGCAAGTGACCGCACTGATTTTGCGGCTGCTGCGTCAGCACACTGCCAAGCTGCAACATGCTTATCTGAGCATGTGAACTGCACATGTCAGAATCTGCTGCATGACCGGACGACCTGGCAAAGGCCCACATAGGTATAAAAAATGAAAAGAAGGTGGCAAAGCTGGCCATCTGCATGAGATTCCGAACAGGCATCTAACCTTCTGATGTCGCTTACAAGCCTGAGCCAAGTCAATGCCATAGTGTCGTGATCACTGTGACCATGAAGCTCAATGCAGCGGCTGCAAAGAGAACTCTAGCCATAGCACCGTGCCCCATCCGCAGTTCTGATGAGACTGTTGTTGGATCCGGAAATTCGTGTGAGATAACAGAGAGCAAACCTTGACTACCCAACCAGTCCTGATGAAGCCAGGGCCCTTGGCGGCAACCATTGGATGTTGTTCACGATGTTTGGAGACCGTTGCGTGGCAATGAAATGATTATCCGACTGATGATCTGATGGGCTACAAGAGACTATGACAGACCATGATATATTATAGCATACGATAATATACTCGAATATACTATACGACAACAGACTCTGATACACTAGAAGATTACCATAACTATAATGTACTACAGTGGGCCATAGAGCCCGAAACTCTAAACCCTAAACCCTACACCCTAAACCCTAAACCCTAAACCGTACGTACACGCTGGTATAGAAAAGGACATCCGGAGGCTCAGCGAGGCATGTGGCTTTTACCTCACACGCGGTGGCAGGCGACCATAGGTCGTCGAGCAAGGTACCCCCCCTTGAGGGGGCCTCGCCCATGCGATCAAACACCGGCAATGTCCAAAACACTCAAAACTGTTAAACGCATTAAGACACGAAGATTGCAGGCGGTCGTCTGCGAGCTCAGCTCAGGCACCAAGCCTCTTGAACAAACGCTTGTTGGCAAAATGGAATCCCTTCCTTGTGGCAAGAAGCGCCACGCCACAGCCTGCGGCGAAAACGACGGATCCCAGTGTCTCAGAGAGCCCATCCTGAACTTCTTCCTTGTAAAACGTAATCTCCGTGTACAATTGCCATGCTATACAGGCAAGAGCTGAGGGTAACGTGAGCACGCCTACCAGTGCATCCAAGAAGAGCTCCGTGCATATCCATTGAGCTTTGCGTCGGAGGCAGCGTGCAAAGAAAATACCGACGGTACCAACCAGCGGGAAGCAGAAAAGCCAAAAGGCGAGGAATCTGATCACAAAGTATGGGACCAGAAATTGGTTCCCTTCCCATTGTGAGTACACGGCCAGAAAGTCCATGAAGGGCCACCAGACAGGCGCGAAAGATCCAAGCATCCAGAGATAAGGAAAAGCATCGTATCCCAGCTGCTGCTCGAGAGCCCGGGCTGCGAGGGATCGAACGGACTCGTCAAACTCTTGCTCAGATCCAAACCAGCTTGTCACACACTGGCTGACAATTTCTCTGTCACATACTTCGATTGGCTTACCACTGGCTGGGTGGATGTGGTTCACGCTGCAGCACCAGCACTCCGCGTGTCGCAGCCGGAAGTCCTGCAACTGACTCTTGATAGCCTCAAGAGACCTGTAATATTTGCGGAAAGCGTGTACGAGGAACATGCCTTCGGCAATGACGAAGGCAAGAAGCACTCCCCATATCAGGAAACGATCTTCGAAAGGGTTGAAGACAGCAAAGAAACCCGCTCCGAACGCACCGAAGCAAGTTGTGCATGTAATGAAGCCCAACAGTATCGGCTTTACCTGCAGGATATAAGGTTTCTCCGCAGCCTCTGGATGGGCTTTTAAAAATGCGGCAATTTCAAACAAGCACCACAGCCTGTCCTTGGTCCATGTCACGGAAAGAACAAGATTCTCAGTATGAGCTCGCTTTCAACGATGTTTGGAACGCCAAACCGGACAAAACAGAAGAGATCCCTAACTTTCACCAAGCATCTGCGTAGGAATCGTCGAAAAGGACCAGCAGGGATTTAGAAACCCGTAGCACTGCGCCAATATTTATGATGCCTTCAGCCTTCATGCGTGGATCAAGCTGATTGATGCAAAGTCGATCAAGGAAAATCGACCCCCGTGGTCTCCAGAAAGCCAGCGTGAAAAGTGCCAGGATCAGCCCAACAGAAGAGCACCAGCAGGACCATTTCTCCCCAAGCTTCGGAAAGCCTGGCAAGAAATCAAACTGCCACAGCAACACCATGAGCAAGGAAGTGAGAGTTCCAACGACAACCGAAGCCAAGCCGTTCTTGATAACCAGCAATAGCAGCACCTTCTTCCAGACTGCAACCTGCCAGCTATGACTCAGAAACTCATCGTAGTCCTGCGTGACTTTGCTGAGGCTAAAGAAGCTTCGGTCTTTCCGAGCCCAGAAGACACGTCCCAACCTGGCTACAATGTGGTATGTTGGAACTGCCCGCAGGATTTCGGGTCGAGTTGGCTGCATCCTCTCCATGAGCCCAACGAGAGCTGCAAGTGCTGGCTTGGTCGGTTCTCCAGAGTCTCCAGAATCAGATGGTTCCTGAGGGCCGCTTTCTGCTTCATCTGGCACTTCCTCTTCCAAGTCAATCTCTACAAAATCATCAGGGGCATGATGACCTTCACTGGTCACAGTGTGATTCTGGTTCGCAGTCTCGTCCGATGACATGCTCATTGTACCATAGCGGCTGTGGGCACTGCTATTCTATGTGCGAATGGAGCTGCAACTCCCGTGATCGGGTGGCCTTTTCGCTGTCCAGCTTGGCACTTCGATGATTGCCTGTGTACACTTGAATATACTATGGACGTAACCGGTTGGGGATTTTGAGTTCAGAATTCTGGGTTTCCTGGAAGCTTCTGAAACGAAAGAACCCAGGAATGATACTTGAATGGCAATTTCAGACAATCTCTTCTGTTCTGATTTATTAAGGCTTTGAAGGCTTGGCTACCGAAAAAAAGTAGATTCTGCATTGCATGCCCCCATGCCCACATGAGGCCCACATGCCACCTTGAGCACGGATCACACGCAAGCTGGTATGACAACTAACGATTTCACCCTCATACCCAGCAGCCTGTGGAAATTTGCTAGGTTTAAGGTTCAAGTTACTCTAAAGTTTAACCTTTTTGGTTTTGAAATGAAGACAAGAATTCTATGAATGAAGCAGCTGTGTAAGTGCAAGCTTGTTGACTCGACAATGTAGGGTAACAAAATTCCCAGCTATGGCTCATATGACTCATATGTTGTCCTACCCCGAGTCTTTTCATACAAATGTCTTTGAAAGCACAGCTGTTTGGAATAATTGGCTCATGAAATAGCCTTGTCTAAACTCTAAACACTCAACTTTGAGTCCAAGTCTTAAACCATGGATTTAGAGTTCTTAAGACACGCGAAAAAAACTCAAATCGAAAAAAGAATCAAAAAAAGGCTCTCTTTACAAAAACGTACAAGAAG